CTGTGTGCAAGCAATTAGTACATCATCATTCACTGGCCACATTTCACTAACACAGTTTACAGCTTTTGCAGTGAACTACATGAGTCCAGAGATTGAGTGACCTCTTGGATCTACATTTCCAGCACCTGTCAAATGGTTCTTTCTGCAAAGCATGAAGACAATGGAAACACATTAAAATGACCATATCCACCAACACGGGCAGGTCCAGAAAAAAGAAAATTGCCCTTTAAGTTGATCAATAACAGGGATTGATTCTGTTCTGTGTGCTCAGTCAGCTGCCATGCAGGGCCTAACGAAGGCAGTGGGCAGGATGGAGCACAGCTGCTCTGTTAGCTGTGCTGTTGAGGCCACGTGGCACAGGGATGGCAACTTCTCATCATGCATCTGGACAGTCTTCCTTCCATTTTGATTCCTTTGTCCTATCCTTCAGCTTTTATTTATAGGGTGGAGATGAACATTATTTTAATGGAAATAATGAACAATGCTCTTTTTCATCATACCTCTCTGTGTACCTTATAACAAGGTTTATCAAAATCAAACTATACAAATCAATGCATGAAAATCCATAATGCATAATGCACTTAATGGGATCTGTGACATATGCATGTGTGAATTTAATCGGATTATGTGCATGAATTAATGTGAATATATAGATGTGTTTTTCTTTGCCTGGTATCCAGTTGATTATTATTAGCAATAACAGATTCTAAAACTGGCTTTGCACATTTGATGTATGCTACTGGGGGAGGGGAGGGAGGAAAGAGCGTAATAGTGGCTGAGCTAAGGCAGCCTCAGGCATTTTTCTGCCTACACAAGGCACAGACAAAATGGATTGGGGATGCTGTTCCAACAGGATCCTTTACTCTTTTGGAAATGTGTGGCTTTCTCCTTTTTTCTCTGTATCTACTAGATGTTGCCAGGGAGACATAGCCCTTGGCTTGCACCCAACTGCTGAGGCCATCACCCTTTATAACAGCAGTACCCAAAAAACTTTGTACCCACCAGAAGGTTTAGATCTGTTAAAATAATAAAAATATCTCTGAACTGTCTCAGTAGTTGATTCAAAGGAAGAAAAACTTTATTCTAAAATGTCTATTCCAAAAGACCTGGCTTTACAATGTATTTATAAGACATTGTATTTATGTTTTTAAGCTCTTTAAAAAATAATAATTGTAAAGAGTCACAAAGTAGCCTTTTCATAACATAGGTGTTCAAGAAGTACACTCCACATGTATTAAAATCCACAATAACATTTGTGAGCTTCCTTAAATTTTCTTGTAACTGCCATAAAACCGTGCTGGAAATTGATCTGAGTCGGCATCTCTTCAGAAACCAGTTACGGTAAAATATCTGTTACCTTCTCAAGTAATTGGATTTCTAACTGTCCATTTTTTAAATCATCAGGTTTTCAAGAAAGAACACAGATTACTGCTATTTTAAAGGTAAAAAATGGTTTTAGATTTTAATTTTTCTTATTTAATTTGTTAAAATTATCACATTACTCAGACTTAGTGCTTTTTATTTATAAGTAGTTGTAAGACTAAGGTGCTTAAACCTGTTATTGAACAGATCAGTAAAAGACATGACTATTTTAATTCTAAACAACATTCTGTACATAACCTTTGAGCACAACCCTGCAGTCATCCGTGAGAACACTCTAGCTGACCTAACAGACTAAAATTTGGAATATAACAGACACAGAAAGATAAAAATAGGTCACTAGGATATAATTGTAAACACTCTGCACAGGTTTTTTTTTTGCATTATCTTAACTAATATTTAGTAAAACATTGTTTCTCAAATAGGTATGAACAGTGCCTGATGTGCAATTAACATTTTGATTAACATAAATTGCATTGTTGATAATTTTAAACACAATCTTTTTCTTGCAGTTGTTTACAGACAGGTACAGTAAATATTTTAACTTACAGGAAGAATGTGGAATGGGATCAATTACTTGGCACTGTGCCTACAGAACTTCTCAATCTATTTTTAAATATTTCAGAAATGGGGAGGGGAGCAAAAGATCCGTGTTACATTTCTGAGCTAAGGGTTATCAGTAGAACATAGGAATCCTTTTCCCTATCCTGACTCTTATTCATTATTGGCAGCAATGCTAATATACACTACTTTGCTACTCGTTTAAATGTTCAAAGTATTACAGTAACATATATTTGTTTCATAAATTTTCCTTCCCATCATTTTCTCTTCTATAACAAAGAACCATAAAGACAGCAAATACTCTCTCTTATTTAGTGCAAGAGAGAAAGTAAACACTAATTATAGCAAATAACTATTAGTGTCACAGGATTCCCAGACATTACCAATATACACTTAAGCATTTCAGAGCAGACAATGACCTTACCTTCATAGCTAAGGAGAAAGCACGTCAGCAAGTTAGGACAGACCTCCTCCAAAATGGAACAAAAAGCGGAGAAAGCACTTGGGCCTTTTAAAAAGAGTTTATCTAAAAAATATTCAGTTCGCTTCTTGTAGCTCTCCTGGGACCAAATGTCTTTGTATTCCTCCAAGGAAAATACTCTCTTGTAAACCAAGTACGACAGCACTTTGTTCACATCCAGCTCTTCCAGTATTTTCTCTCTGTGCTTGCTTGGGATTTCAGAAAGCCACTTATTCCTGTTTTCATTTTCCCTTTTGGTAGATTTTGCACAGTTATAAAACCAAGATTTGGCTGTTCGTCCGAACATTCTGATATTTAAATAGAAAACAGAAAATTCTACTTCTGCATTTACTGTGCAGTATTCAGCATGCAAAGTAAACATAATGTGGATGGATAGAATGCAAATACATACTGCTGTCTGTAATTATTGTAATTCTAATGGAATGAAGAAGGCCTACATACAAATTATAAAGAAATCTAGCTCAGTTCCTGCAGCTTCCTAAGAGGATTACATTACACTAATTAGCCCCTTACAACTGTTAACAGCTTCTGAACCGTAATGATGAGACTGAGAATTGCTTAGTTACTGTTACTTTTTAATTCAGCAAGTGATCTTCAAAGATATCTCTTTGCAAAAAAAAAATAAATTTAAAAAATTAATTAAAGAAGGCAGCTGATCAAACTGAAATAATCTGTACAAGCTGATACAGGACATGAAATGAAGTGTCTTCTCTACACTTTAATTTTGTACTCCTCAGAGGCCATACCCAACCCACAGTATAAATGCCCTCTGCTTTTTGTTCTTGCATAAAACATTAGAATGCAATTATACTTTAGAAAACATATAATATGAATGTAAATGTAAATATGTAAATATATTGTAATCCTATATGCAAAACGTGAAAAGAAAAAAGATTACAGAGTAAGACCTTTTTAGTGAAGGTAAACACGGCACTGTTAAGAACAACAAAACTTCCACGTGTTTTGATCTTTGAAGTTGTGTCCAAGCAAAATAAACCAGCACACAGCAGCCACGTCCTGCCCCGGTGCTCCAGGGGGATTAGCTCAGTCCTCAGGGAGGTGTCCTGCCACCGACCGTCAGTCACCCGGGATCACGGTTGCATAACCCCTCTTACGCAAATGCTGCTTAATACATGGAGTTTTTGCTCGGTTTTAGACTTCCTGTCAACATAAATTCCCTGTGTAGAAAAGCTATGACTGCTTCCCGCCTCCTCCTGCTGTTTCCTTAGTCTGTTGTTCGCTTTTTTTCTGTTTCCATTACTTTCAACTGCCTCTGCATCCCCGGCCTCGCTCCTGTGGCTTTGCCTGCAGTTTCCTTACGGGAACCTCACCTATTGCCCAGCAAACAGAGGTACTTGGCTAAGCTGCTAGGAAAACAAGCTTTAGAATATGTTCAGTCTTTATGATCTTAGGATGCTGTACCCTCCTGCCAGGCTGCTGCTGCTTCTGAAATTACAAGTATTTATCAAGCAGCATTAAAGCTGATCACCGACCATGTAATGATTCTATGGTGTGTATCACCTGCCAAACAGTTCCCTGCCCGGTTAACGCATTGGGAGCGTTGCCTGTCACCTGGTGGTGGTTTGCAGCTCTAACAAGCCTCACGTGTCACATTACCTGAAGAAGGGTCAGTGGAACTACGTGTTGTGTTACGGCATATTCATGGCCCCAGTTTGGAAGGTCTGTGGCCACAGCCATGAGACCGGCCCGGGAGCTTCACAGATGCTAAACCGGCCCCTTGGGAACATAAACCAAACTGATGGGTTTTTTCCTTTCCTATTGCCAACCACCGGGCGTGTCATGATCTTCACAACTCGGCACGATCAGCACTTTAAGAATGAGTGATTCTTCACTTCATGCAACTTCTCTTTCATGAGCGTTTCGAAGAACCTGGGGGGCAGGTGAGCGGGACTGGGACGCGCGTTGACACTTCCCGATCTGCCCGGAGCAGGACGGGCAGGTGAGCGCGGCTGCGCAGCCCTGAGCGCTGCTCACGGGATTCACCCACCGAGCAGAACGAATAACAACAGTAACTCTCCGGCAGGGCCCTGCCTGCCTGGGTGCGGTCACGGCCGCAGCTCAGCGCCCCGAGCCCGCGGGACGGACGCAGCCCGAGGCAGGGGCGGGGCGGGGC